TTTAAAACTTATATAATAAAGGTAATATCTCATCACATCCCAAAGTGTATCATAAGTGTACGGGGTGCTATGCCACACCTGGGCTAGTGAACCCAGGTGCACAGGCTGTCTAACTAATATCCATTGGAACACAATGCATAATATGGCACGCAGGCCGAAAGGGAAACTAATCTACGTCTACGCTCCAGTTCTAGCGCGCTCCAGTGCTCTAGTCCTCTGTGCCTGAAAGCCAAATATATCTGTTCAGCGAGAGATGCTGGTAACCCACTTCAACGCGTGGAAATACAATACATATAGAGATATATATAGATATACGAAAACCATTTTGAGCATGAAGATATATCTTACGAACTCTAGCTTTAAAACCGGGAATGACTCGACAGATAAGGCCAGACACAAGTAACAGTCATAACGAGCATATGCAGTTCATAACGGGTAAGGCAGGTAAGGCAAAGCATAACGATAATCACAACCCAACATAAACAATCCCCAACATAAATCCCACAGTCACATTCCCCCAAGACACTCATAATCACAACTCATCCATATCACAACACATAGCACACTTTGTTGGCGCCACAGGACCAATCGCATGCCCATACATGAGGGTCAGCGCATATAGCTCTGACACGGCCCCGCAGCACCCTGCCCCGTATCGCAACACGGAGGGGTCGATCGCAACCGACCGATGAACCGCAGCTTATCATAGTGTTTGATCGCAACCAAACAGTGGACCGCAGCCCAAGAGAATATCATCTGACCGCAGCCAGGAAAAAGGACGAACCGCAGCTCGTATAGAAACGTTTGATCGCAACCAAACGGTGGACCGCAGCCCAAGAGTATCAATCTGACCGCAGCCAGCTTCTGAACCGCAGCTCAGGATAACCAATCCGATCGCAACCGAATTGGGGTGACACACACACATAACACATAGCAAGCACATGCAACCCATATTTCACATTGGGAAGGGGGAGAAAGCGCATAACAAACCTATGCGTGATCCATCACATACTAAGAATAGTCCTAAGGGGTTCATACTCCTTCCACCTAGGTCAACGGGATACCAATTCAACTAGCATGCAATATAATAGACTCATAAACCTACGAACGGTGCCCGAAACATCAAACTAGACATAGGCACGATAAACGGGGTCCGTTGAGACACCACGAGGAACGGGGGAACATCAAACGGGGAAGCCGGGATCCCAAGGTGGGATAATTTCCAGCGGGTAGCCGGTGGGTGGGGGCCACCCGCCGGATTTCACTGTTCCGGGCAGCGGGTCGCCGGCGGGTAGCTGCCCGCCCGCCGGCTGCCCGCTGCCGGAGATACACTTTCCGGCCGTGGGTAGGTGGCGGGTCCCCTACCCCCCACTGACTCTTATCACACAATTTCGCCCCGGGAACCATTGTGGAACCCGAAACCATGCTTAGACACTTTACAACGCAATTAACGACAACACGTAGACAATTAACGAGTCAAATACAGGAATCGAACGGCACATAACTTATCATGCTTTTCTAAATATAATCAACACCCAAACATGCGATTTCCCCACCCGATAAACCAGGAATAAGATCATATGATACAACCTAGGGTTCTAATCACTTTTATATCAACAAGAATACGGTTCGTCTTCTAATTGCAGGATTCGGTTAGAATAACACATAAACATCAAGATCATCACACAATTATCAAGAACAACACATAATCATCAAGAACTCCATATAATCATCAAGAACACCATAATTATCAAGAATCTCCCAATATCAAGAATATCAAGATCCTTCATGGAATTATCACATCAAACATCAATAATAATCATCACATCTCGCCAATACACAATAATATGGGGGAAACCCTAAGGGGAAATCATAGCTATGAAAATAGGTTTTGTTGAGACATGGGTTACCTCTTAGCCTTAATTAATTCCTTGGCTATGAAGGATCTTTCTTTAAGCTTCCTTGCTTTCTTGATTTCTCCTAAGGGGATTCTTGGAGCTCTTTCAGGGGTGGTGGGGCGTTAATCTTGTGGGGAATTCTAGGTGTCTCTTAAGTCCCCTATTTATATATTTAGGAGTCCTAATGAGGGACTAATATTATAGGCTCGCTAATTCTATTCCTTTCGGAACTAAGGATTGGGTTTAGGGGTTGGGTTTATACATGAGGGCCCATGGACTATGGTGGGCCCTTTTTCCCTAATTAATTATAATTTATTCTTTCTCTTGGGCTATTGATTAATTAATTAAATGGTTTTAGGGGCCGTAACACGGGGTGTTACAACAAGAACCCTAAGCTAGATCACTCGGGATCACAGAACCAGGGTTGCATCTTCAACTGATCTCTGCTGGCCTCTTCAACCAAAGGAAACAAGGTACCCCCACTACTTAACTTGAGCTTGGCATCTGCTTGAACTTGATCTGTCACTTCCGACAAGGCCACAACTGCTAGATCCAAAACACGGGTTGGATGTCCTTCTCTCCGGCTCTTGGGCTAACTTGATGAAGGCCACCGACTTAACACTTGCATTAGCACACCTTTTCCAACTCTCTACAAAGCAACGCTTGAAACTTCAAAACTTCGGTCTGGATGAAAGGTTCAAAATAGGAACGGTAACAAAGAAGAAAGGTAACCCAGGGGAAAGAAGGCTCACAAGAAGAGATGCGGTTCAACGGTAAGGATTAGAGCGAAAGGTTTGGGTTCAGAAACTCAAGGATCACGTTACTTAGGAGTAGGATCAAAGTCATCAAAGTTGAAACTTAGGAGATAAGGTTTCCACCTTGCACAGAATTGTTAAAAGCGAGGAATACAAAAACGAGGTTCGATTCAAAGGGGAAGATCAAGGTGAGAGTTTAGGTTCAAAGATTCGAGGACCATGTTGATTAAGAAAAGGAGAATAGTAAACAAGGCTACAACTCAATGAGTAAGGAATCAAAACCGGGTTTAAGGAAGTTGAAAAGAATTTCCCCATGGAGGGTATCCGATTTAAACTCAAGGGTAGCACTGATGAGGAAGGGAATCAAAATTTTTCAAAGTCACAACTTAGGAAAGATGAGGTCGTAACCTTGGACAGAGTCAAATCAAGAAGGGAACAAGAACGAGGTTTGAAAAGACAAGAAGGATTTCTCGAGAAGGGACAAGGAATTCGACGAGAGAAAGAGAAGAAGGTCGGCTTCAAGAGGTGAAAGGGTTCACGGCTTCTGACGAAACTTCGGCTTGAAGTTGATTACTACGCTTGTCGATCTAGAGGCTCTCCACCTCGACTCAAACGCGGCTTAACTCTTAGACCTTGCCGGATTCCTTCATAAGCAGAAGCCACTGCCGCCTTGCACAAGATGGTTTGGAAAAAACACAAGAACAAGGTTCGGAAGGAAAGGATCACTTGGCAAAAAGGGTGATTGTGTTTGTCTAAAGGAGAGAAGAGATTTAAGAGGGTCAAGGGTAACTCTCGAACAAGCTAACGCCCGAAACTAACACGCAAAGAAGGGCACAAAGACAAAGGGAGGTGCAACAAAAGGGTACAAGAGCTTACTTCATCGGTTCCCACTTGCATCTACCTCACGACTGTGGATCTTGACTTGCCGAAGTCCCTGACTTCGTACACAGGTCTTGGTTGCTACATCCACTTATTCCATTGTTGCTTCCACTTCGAGGCTTACTGTAACACCCCGATATTTTTAAACTTTTAAAGACTTATATAATAAAGGCATTCTCTTATTAAATCCCAAACAGAGCATTACTAAACATAAGAGTATGGGGTGCTATGCCACACCTGAGCTGGAGAACTCAGATGCACAGGCTAACTAACTAAATTCCTTAATAATGTCAATACATAAGCATGGCACGCAGGCTGAAAGGAAAACTATCTACACTACGCCTCGAATCTCTAGCGCTCTTCAGTGTCTACTCATCAGTGCCTGAAAGCCAAATATATGTGTTCAGCGAGAGATGCTGGTAACCCACTCCAACGCGTTGAAATACAATACATATAGACATATATATAGATATACGAAAACCATTTTGAAGCATGAAGATATATCCTAAGAGACTCTAGCTTTTAAAACGGGGATAGACTCGACAGATAGAGGTAAGCATAACCAACAGATATACCAAGCATATACAGTTTACTAGCATAGGGAACGGGCACGACAGATAGAGATAAGCATAACCAATAATCATAACCAAGCATATACAGTTTGCTAGCATAAATCCTATAGTCACATTCTCAAGGCACTCATAACAACAACTCATCCATATCTCATCACATAAGCACACTTTGTTGGCGCCACAGGACCAATCGCATGCCCATACATGAGGGTCAGCGCATATAGCTCTGACACGGCCCCGCAGCACCCTGCCCCGTATCACAACACGGAGGGTTCGATCGCAACCGACCGATGAACCGCAGCTCATCATAATGTTTGATCCACTACAAGAATGTTAACATTTAGCGACGTTTTTTAAACGTCGGTAAAATAAAAAAAAACGTCGCCAAATATCTTTACTGACGAAATAAAAACGTCACCCCGACCGTCGGGTTAGCGGCGTATGGAAAGGTATTACTGACGAAATTAGTTTTTCGTCACGAAATATTACGATTACTGACGTTTTTGCATGGTCTTGGTAATGTCATTGACTACATACTTTTTGAGACGAAATATTAACAAAAACGTCGGTAATAATTTGTGACGAAATAAAATATTTCGTCAGCAAATGTGTCTTTACTGACGTTTTTCATACAATTATGTTTGTCATGAATAAATTTAATTGGTGACGAAAAATGAAATGCGTCAATAAAATTACATTTACTGACGATTGTGTACATTATTATGTTGTCATTAAAAAAATTAATTGATGACAATAAAAAGACATTTATTGACGTTTTTTCCATATTAGTTTTCATCACAAAATTTTATATTTGGGAATATTTACAATTTATTTAATAATTGATTATAATTTACATATATTTATATATATATAAAAGTTTACACAAAAATTTCATGTAATTGAGAATAAAATATTTTAGCATCAATTAAATGTTCAAAATAGAAGAATATTTTTTTCATAGTATAATATTGAATTACAAGGATGTAATGTAATACAAATGATTATTAAATATGGTCTGACTAGACACATGAATATATACAATTCTATGCACATAAAGATGGATAATTATTCTCATGTTCAGAGGCCGGCACTTTGGAAGTCCTTTGTCTTGGGAAGAAAGTGTGATGTGATGAGTACATCTAGATATGCAATTCCCTGCCACTAAAAAACATAAATATTTTTAAGCATGAGTAAATTATTTACCTTCAATCAAGCTCTAAGGTTTTGGTCAAGATCATAATACCAATGGTAAATTATGAGGAGAGTGATACACCAGATATTTACAGCAAGGTGAAAAGGTAGTGATGGCTCAAGTTCAATGAATAGGCAAGGTCAAGATGTAATCTTCACGTTCTTATGTGAAATAAGAGTAATTCATTATCTTTGTGGTAAATCTGCAAAAAGTGTCCATGAGTAAACCTAACAAACCTATAAATCTGCAAACATTTACCACTTTACTAAAAGAACATGAGGCTATTTAAGACAAAATAAAGCACAAACAAATGATTCAAAGTAGAGAAAAAGAATGCCATACCTTGATAGTGTCATCACTTGAATGTGCCTCTGCAATATCACATATTTTCCCAGTTATATAGGCAGCAGAATACTTACAATCAGCAGTTTCATATTCTTCCAAGACCCAACAAATGACCTGCAAGTCATGCAAAAGAACCAGTGGCCAGTGTCAAATCAACAATGTGGCTAGTGTTAGGTTTAAGTATCAAGACCAGAGAAGTTGGTAATGTCTTTCAAAATGTTAAACACAGAATTCGTTTACCTTCCCCTATTTAAACTTGTAAATATTAGTATAAATAATCATGATTAAGAATAAAAACAGAATGATTCCTATTTCAAAAAAAAAAAAAAAAAAAAAAAAAAAAAAAACAGAATGTTATTAATATACACACAAAAAATAGTCAAAGCATGCCACTGTATGATAGATTCTAAGTAATTCTACTTAAAACTGCAAAAACATGGATAATTTATAACTGAAGAAAATAATCGCCACAGTTAGTCTAGTTAAAGAAATTTACTAAAAGATGCTCAAGATGACATGGATAGTCAAAAGATGTTAAAAAGTACTGTCGGCGCTATTATCATCTTCTCCAAACCCTTCAGCAATCAGTCACATTAAATTATGTGCAACCTTTACGTTCACCAAATCTCCTGCATGCTCAAATACTTTATTCATAGTCTGTAAAATAAAACAGTTAAAGCAGTAGACAGTCAGAAGCAGAAAAATATAGCAGTACTGCATTACAAGAAGATGGTAAAGTATGATCTTGCACTAATGAATAACCTGAATAAACCATTGATTGCTTAGGGAAAATTGTTCTGCAAGTTCAACACAAACACATTATTGATTAAAACCCTAGAATCCAGGGCCAATATGCCTGCACAGGCACTAGCTGACTGGGCGATGGATAGGCCGGGGGAGGCCATCTTTCGGAGCCTCAATGATCTGCCACGTAGGGTCCGTGCCTTGCTGATACATGATGATGTGCCCTATGTGTTTTTTGATATTGATGATCCCCCCTGATTGTACTTGTACTTTTGCTCGTTCAGATGGAAATATGGAAAAAAGGAAAAACAGAAAAAAGAGAAAGAAGAAAAAGAAAGAAGGGAAAATAAGTAAAAAAAAAAAAAAAGAAAAAAAAAGAGAGAAAGAGAGATGGAAAAATGAAAAGGAAAAGAAAATGAAAAGAAAAAAGAAAATGGATTTGAGAAAATGAGAAACGATTGAAAAGAAATAGAGTGAAAAGAATTGGAGTGTAAAAGAATTGGAGGGAAAGAAAATGAGAGTTGGAAAGGAAAAGAAAGAGTGGATGGGAGCTCAAAATAGTGAGTGTGTGAGGTTCTTGGGAGGCCGTGAGGCCCTGCTTGCAGCGCTGAGTCTCAACGTAAGGTGCTGGCGGTACAACAGGGCACCCTAGTCCGGGCTGAACGGTGTGCCGGGCAGGATTTTCAAATCCGTTGACCTGGTCAGGCTTGCTGCTGGCCAATAGTAGCTGAGTTCCTTCTGGACTCCGGGGGGACGGGCTATGGTTTATTTTTTGTTCGCGTCAGCCTGTTATAACCTTAAACACTCACCCGAGGTAGAATTAAGTTGGGTCATGGGAACAGGATGCTTGGTTGTTCTATCTTGTTTCTATTTCTGCAGGTGTTGTTTCTTTGGCCTCGGAGGCATGAACTAGTCCTGGGCTGTTTTGGTTTCGCCTTTGCAGGCATCTTTGGGAAAGACCAGGTCTCAACGCCGATGCAAGCGGTAAAAATTGCATCGTAGCCCGGGCTGAACGGTGGCCGGGTAGGTGTTTTTCAAATCCGTTGGCGGTAGTCCAGGCTTGCTGCTGGCCCATAGTAGCTAATCCCGTTAGGGTTGGTTCTGGTTCGTGCTGGTGCTGATCGGGGGTTCTGCTATTGGCTGCCTTGCGCTGCGTTGATCGATTTTGGCCTGGGATCTACCTTGTACCTTTGTCTTAGGCCTGCGTGCCACTAAGCTTTGTATCTTGACTTAGGCCTGCGTGCCATTGTTAGCTGTATATCTTGACTTAGACCAGCGTGCTATTGGTACTATCTGTTGTATGGCATGTCTGGTTCTACAGGGCAGCCAATGGCGCTCCGGGAGGTGTTACAATTGTGGTGCAGCCCAGCTAGGCGGCATTATGGTGTGTAGTCGCTGTAGTGCAACTGGCTGGGAGGGGCCATGTTTGTCACACGCGAGGCATCTATCCTCGCTATTTGAGCTTTGGTACTACATGATGGGCTGTGAGGCAGTTGGGCTGCGCGTATTTGGAGCAGCTTCTCAGTCTATTTATTTGTTTAATCATATTCCTGCCTACGTTTAGTTAGTGATAGCTAGCATAGGACTTGGGGCATGCATACTAGAGCCCCGGGGGCCTCTTTATGTAATCTTGTTTTATTCTACTTTACATTTCTTAGTTTAGTTTTAGGGTTTAGGCCATGTGGGGCCTAAGCCCTCTTTGTATTGGCTTCGGCCATTTTATTAATAAAGTTTTAAAAAAAAAAAAAAAAAAAAAAAACCCTAGAATCCTCACACACACTCAGTAGAATAAGTAGATACAGTTTCTTGTGAGGATAGAATACCATTTTAGTGTAATCAATTTCCACAAGCAAACCTTTCCATACTTCTGGCTTCTAGCTTGCAGGTGCAGACTACCATCATGCTGGAAACCACAAACTTCAGTCTGAACATCCCTCCATGTTTATAAGAAAAATGAAAATATAATGGAGATCAAATAACTTGGAAACTATCCTAGCTCCTAGAAGGAAGTGAGCGTCCTTACACAAACAACATCATTATCCTCAAATATACTTCAATAATGAAAAGGCACATCAACACAAAACCAAACTGCAGTGAGGATACGTATAAATACCTGAATTTCATCTGGCAAATTCATAGAGGAAAGCATCAATACAGCATCTTGGCTAGAGTTTATCTCCAATCTCCATCGCTTTGGAACATCCTAGCTTGTATTGAAAATAGAGATCAAGTAAATTCAACTACACAACTGCAATAATATATAAAAGCTGATTCAATCCACAATGCACTTGGTCTCCAAATGCATTGCAGTTTGATATACCCTCGAAGACCATCAAAACTTCATTCGTTAAGCATTCAAATGGAAATACCAGTACATTGCATCTTCGCCTCGGGGAAAATTGCCAATGTGCAGAGCGCCTAATACTGGAAACACTACTAGAGCTGAAGCCTGCAGATTGCAGATGAATTGGGTAAGAGGACACTAGTACATCAAAGATCTTAAATGAGTTCATTTCACTTTGACCCCTGAAGTGACAATATCTATTTCAGTTCTAACTTTAGTTTTTATTAGCCAGGAGCAAAATAAATAACAAAATCAGTTTATACTAGTTAGATTATGGCTATTTTTTTTTTTTTTTTTTTTTCCTGGTTCATACTCAGTCATTCTTTCTTAGCGCCGGGCTCACTCGGTTGCTCCACCTACTCGGCCATTCTTTACCGCAGCGCAAAATAAATAACAAAATCAGTTTATACTAGTTAGATTATGGCTATTTTTTTTTTCCTGGTTCATACTCAGTCATTCTTTCTTAGCGCCGGGCTTACTCGGTTGCTCCACCTACTCGGCCATTCTTTACCGCAGCGTTCAGTCGCCCACTCGGTTGCTCCACCTACTCGGTCATTCTTTACCGCAGTGACCACTCGAATGTCTGGGATAGGAATCGATCCTGGGACCTCCCACTTTCAAGGACCCAGGACCGGTTTCTTATTATGATCCATGTTCAAGGGTTCAAGGCTCAGGGTCAAAGGCTCACGGCAGGCTCATGGCTTTGGGGTTTGGCTTGTGGTACAGACCCGAGGTAATGGGGAGGCTCATGGTACAAGGTATGATACAACCCAAGGTACCGGGGAAGCTCATGGCTCAGGGCGGGCTTCGACCCAGGGGTTCAACCCCAGGCTAAGGGGTGGGGCTCGGCCCGGGGCTCAGGGTTTAGGATCATTTTTCACCTTATTCCGACCCATGCTTGGGCTGGGAATCGATCCTGGGACCATCCATTTGAAAGTCCATACCGGGTACCATCAGACCACAAGGGAGATGGTGATTATGGCTATTTGTGGATTTTATTTATTTATTTGAAGGCACACTGGGGCAAGGTGAAACTAACCAGCATGAAATTGATCAAATAACTTGAGCAAAAATAACTTACCATCAAGAATACTAATTCATCATTAGCAAGCACAGCCGGGAAATCATACTGTTCCACAGCCTGCTTCAGAAAGCCTTGCAACTGAGCACAAACTGAGAACTAGCAAACTGAAAGTATAGTCTATTGCATATTTGGCAAATCATAAAAACTACTACACATTTGCCATTTAAAAAGTAATATAAAGAACATCATAAAAACTAGCAAATTGCAAGCAAATTTATAGAGACGGAAAGGCAAAGTCTCTTGCATATTTGGCAAATCATAAAAACTAGCAAACTGCAAGCAAATTTATAGCTAAGTTTTCTTAACCGGAGGCACTGTACATAACCAAAACAACATGTCAACGTCTCTTAACCAGAAATTCAAGATTCCCACCTATAAATTTCACAAATTTATGAATTTCATTGCAGTAATGAGTAAAAATTAATTAATGCTTTAGCACTATATAATCATACTGCTCAACTACAAATAAAGGGAAATGCCAATGAAAGCTTGCATCTTTATAATACATCTTAACAAAAATTCTTTCAATCAGTAACTGTAAATGTGCTGAATTTTAATTGATTAAGATATTCAAACAAATTACAGAATTTTGTGACAAAATGCAAAGCAGAAATAGGTAATAGGCTACCTTGGTTCACATGGGCGGCTAAGGTGGAAACCAGAAGCAGCTTCGTCGTCGGCAGGGGCTGAGGCGGAGGCCGGGCAGCAAATCCGTCTTCGGCAAGGGCGGAGACGGAGACCGGAGAGGAGACGCGGAGTCTTCCGATGTCGGAACTCGGCAGTTGTCGGCTGAGTATATTGACGGAGACCCGAGATTACTCGACTATCTCTGTGTCTCGTCTTCTGTTGGCGGCTGAGTACCTGAGCTAGGGCTTGGGGAATGGAGAGTTGGGAAGCAATAGAAGATTAAGTGAAGCCTGCGTAGTGCTTGCTATGGTGTGAAGTTGAAGATTGTAAGAAGATTTTTACACTTCTTTTTTTTTATTTTTGATAGAGATTATTTTTTAAATGGCGCCAAATGCTAAAAAAATTTCCCACAAAATATTTTCACATTTGCTATAATTTAAAACATTTAGGGACGTTTATTATAAAACGTCATTGATTCTATATCTTTATTGACAAAAAAATTATATTTCGTCAGTAAATATTCTAAAAAAGCTCACTTCCTTTACCAAAATATATAGTGACGTTATTTAATATAACGTCGCAAATTGTTATATTTAGTGACGTTTTTTAGAGCGTCATTAAAATTTTCGTCGGGAAATGAAAGATTTCTTGTAGTGATCGCAACCAAACAGTGGACCGCAGCCCAAGAGTAGTCATCTGACCGCAGCCAGGAAATATGAACCGCAGCTCATGTAAAACGTTTGATCGCAACCAAACGGTGGACCGCAGCCCAAGAGTGTAATTCTGACCGCAGCCAGCTTCTGAACCACAGCTCAGGAACAACCAATCCGATCGAAACCGAATTGGGGTATCATGCACACATAACACATAACAAGCACATGCAACCCACATTAACACATTGGGAAGGGGGAGAAAACGTATAACAAAACCTATGCGTGATCCTTCACATACTAAGGATAATCCTAAGGGGTTCATACTTCTTCCACCTAGGTCAACGGGATACCAATTCAACTAGCATGCAATATATAAGACTCATACAACCTACGAATGGTACCCGAAATATCAAACTAGACATAGGCACGATAGACGGAGTCCGTTGGGACGCCACGGGGATCGGGGGAACATCAAACGGGGAAGCCAAAATCCCGAGGTAAATTCCAGCGGGTAGCCGGTGGGTGAAGGGTCACCCGCCGGCTGCCCGCCGGCGACAGCTTTCCGGGCAGCGGGTGCCCAGCAGGCAGCTGCCCGCCCGCCGGCTGCCAACTGCCCGCTGCCGGTGATGTCTATTTTGGCCGTGGGTAGGTAGCGGGTCCCCTACCCCCCCCCCCCCCACTGACTCTTTTTCACAAATAACGCCCCGGGAACCTTTGTGGAACCCGAAACCATGCTTAGGCACTTTAAAACGTAATCAATGACACCACGTAGACAATTAACGGATCAAAAGCGAGAAACATACGGCACATAACCTATCATGCTTTTCTAAACATAATTAACACCCAAACATGCGAATTCCCACCCCATACACCAAGAGTAATACCATACGAGATTCACGATACAACCTAGGGTTCTAATCACTTTTAAATCATCAAGAACACAATTCATCTTCTAATATCAAGATTCGGTAAGAATATCACATAAACATCAAGAACATCATACAATCATCAAGGACATAATATACCCATCAAGAACATCATATAATCATCAAGAACCTCTTATCATCATCAAGATCATCAAGATTACCCATGGAATCATAACACGAATTATCAAGATCAATATAACGAATAATCAACACACAAGAATATGGGGGAAATCCTAAGAGGGGAATCATAGCTATGAAAATAGGTTTTGTTGAGACATGGGTTACCTCTTAGCCTTAATTAATTCCTTGGCTATGAAGGGTCTTTCTTTAAGCTTTCTTCTTTCTTGATTTCTCCTAAGGGGATTCTTGGAACTTCTTGTGTGGTGAGAGATTATTGTGGTGAAAGATCTAGGTGCCTCCTATATCCCTATTTATATATTTAAGACTCCTAATTAGGGCCTGAATGGTATGGGTTTACTAATTCTATTTCTTATAGGACTAAGGACTTGTTTTAGGGATAAGGGTCCATGGTCCATAGTGGATCACATTAATTAATTAAAGAGAATCCCAATCATAATCTTAATAGTAAAAGGCCTACTTCCTTTATTCCTAATAGGCTTAAGAATCTAATTTAGGCAAGGGTCCACGGTTCATGGTGGACCCTATTAATTAATTATAGGGAAACCTAACCGAATTAAATCATTTTTAATTATTATTAACGGGATTAATTAAATAATTAATCCAGGATTGAAGGCCGTAACACGGGGTGTTACACTTACTTCCCGACCGGGGCCTCACACTACCAACCGGTTTTGAGCCAGCTGACGTCTTCCTCTTAAACCTGCACTCAAAGGACCGGTGACCTTCCTTGCCACAAACAAAGCACTCTATCGGTTTCCCAAGAAAGACGACGCCGGGGTGGTCACCCCCACATTCTTGCAAACGGAGCGCCTTCCCTTAGCCTTGTTGTTCCGGATTGGTTTGGGTGCCTTACCTCTCTTAGAGTTGTCTCTTTGCAGGCTTCTTGTTGATCCAACACTAGTAGCTATCAAACTCCTAACCACAGGTAAAACAATTTCGTCAAGCTTCTTCTTATGATTCTCCCGGATTCCTTTTTGAACTTGCTAGACTCGGTAGGGGTCAGCGGCACAACGGCAGGCCTCCTTGGCATGAGCAGGATAGAATCGGTCACGTAACTTAACCTTCAGGTCTTCCCAACTGAACTCCGGATCTTGTCTACAAGCTGGCCCTTCAAGCATCCACCACGAGTCCGCTTCATGTCGAAGATAGAACGTAGCCAACTTCACCTTGCGATCCTCCAGGCAAACCACAGCTTCGAAGATCTTGTCAAACATCTAGATCCACTCGTCCAGCACTGTGGGATCCTCTATACCGGCGAAGGTCGGGGGGCGGAGACTTGCG